GCATCCACTGCTTCCGCGGCCAGACTGCAGCATGTGCTGCTCTGGGCAGAGGGCGCGTTTCCGGAGCTCCTGGAAGCCCGTGCTGGGCCTGGGCAACGGGCCCTAATCGGTCAGGGGGCGGCCAACGGCCCCCCGAGGTCCCCAAGAGGCCCCAGACACCTACCAGACGCCCGAAGATGACCCGAAGAGACCCCCAAGAGGTTTTCGAAATGCCAGAGAACAATTGTTTCCCACGTGTTCTTCCTCATGCGGTTTGGAGGATGCTCTGTTCTTCGGTCTCCCGGGCATCCGAGACCGCCGAGCATCGCCCCAAAACTCTTCGAAAGGGTTCCCAGGCACCAAGAGAGCCCCAAGACGGCCCAACAGGGCCCCAAGATGGCCTGGAGAGAGCCCCATGACGGCCCAAGATGGCCCCTTATACGCCCCCCGAAGCATTCTAAAGCGTGACCCGGTCGTTTAGGGAGACCGCGGTTGGAGGCAGGGTGGCCCGAGAAAGCCCCAAGAGGCCCCCAGCAGGTGCCCAGGAGGCCTCCGGAAGACCCCCCAAAAGCCCTGAAAACTTGCGCGAGGCCCCCAGGAGGCTTTCCAAGGAGAAGACTCCGCAAAAAGAGCTGGAAGGGTGGTCCTTATATGTATGTATGTATGTATGTATGTATGTATGTATGTATGTATGTATGCATGCATGCATGCATGGATGGATGTATGTATGTATGTATGTATGCATGTATGTAATTATGTGTGTATGTATGCATATATGCATGCATGCATGCATGCATGCATGCATGCATGCATGCATGTATGTATGTATGTATGTATGTATGTATGTATGTATATATATATGTATGTATACATATATATATATGTATATATATATGTATATATATATATATATATATATATATGTATGCATGTATGTATGCATGCATGTATGTATGTATGTATGCATGCATGCATGCATGCATGTATGTATGTATGTATGTATGTATGTATGTATGTATGCATGCATGCATGCATGCATGCATGTATGTATGTATGTATGTAGGTATGCATGTATGCATGCATGCATGCATGTATGTATGTATGTATGTATGTCTGACTGTCTGCCTGTATGTATGTATGCATGTATGTATGTATATGAGTATGTATGTATGCATGTTTGTTTGTATGCATGTCTGTATGTATGTATGTATATACAAAAATAGATACATGCACACATAAATAAATAAACACCGCCCCCTCTCCAGCCCTGGGTCCCACACCTCCCCAGAACATCTCGGGAACGCTCCCGGTACTGCTCCCCCGGCCTTTGCCCCCAGATTGCGAAAGGATGGTCCAAGACGCTCCCAAGCAGCCCAAGTCAGTCTTCCGACGGCTCACGAGGCTCCCAGGTGGCCTCCAAGAGACCCCAAGAGAGGTCCGAGAGGCGTCCCGGGACGGCAAAGAGGGTAATATGGTTGATTCCCAATGGTTTTTCTGCTGTTTTTCGCCTTCTCACGTCCGTTTTTCCGCTTCCAACCCTCGAGGATCGAGGATTTCGGAAAAAAGAGAATTCCCAGAGTTCCCTTTTTTTCAAAGTGTGACTCCTACTCGGAGATTCCACACATCCCCTGACACCTGGCCGGTACCGCGCCTCCCGGGGGCCCCCAAGGACAGCCCAAGGCGACCCCAAGGAGCCCCCAGAACGTAAAGAACGGCCCAACACGCTCGCGCGCAGCCCGAGACACCCTTCCGACGGCTCTCTAGGCCTCCAGGAGGCCTCCAGAACCCCCAGGGGGTCCGGAAGATCTCACACCCCTAAGGGGCCCGGCTAACAAAACCCGCGAGGCACAAACAGAAAACAGCGCCGAACATCGCCGAGGAACTAGAAAGACATGGGAATCCCACAATTCCTTTTTTTTCAAGTTTGGCCCCCGGTCTACTCTTGCACAACAGACCACAATTCAGACCCCCCTCACCTCCCACAAAAGAACCCAGGAAGCCTTTGAGGGCCCCAAATCGTTGAATACCTAAAGGGAATTCATGATTTCTGCGTTTCCGCACTTCCCCTTCTATACGATTCCGAGGCTTGCGCAGGGCCTCAAATGGAGTCCCTGGACGCAAGAAGCGACCAACATGAGATTACATGATTTAGCCGATCAAGCCTAGCTAGAACTTGAGCGCGCGCGATGGTTCTAGTGTATATATATATATATATCCGTTATATATATACATATATATATATATATATATACATGCGTGGGCAGGTGGGGCTGGGGGTGCGCGCGTGGCTGCGATGACAGCGGCCGACGGCAGAGATGGCGGTCATTTGCGACGCGCACAAACATTCGTATGATGAGCGTGGAGAAATGCTTCTGGCAGATGTGCAAAGCTAATCCCGACGCGTTTGGCGACGACATGGGAGCGCGTGCCTTTAACAGCTGTGTGCCCAAGGCCGTCCCAGCAACGTAACGAACTCCATTTTGGAATGCCAATCGCTTCGACGAGGTCTAGGAGGCCTCTAGGGCCATTTTGGAGCGTCGGAAGCCCGACAGCGCGAGAACGCAAAAACATTGGAAAGCACGAGGAGCCTCTGGGAAGTCATCTAGAAAGTCTTCTTTGTAAGTCCTCTTGGAGCGCTCTTTGGGCTTCCCTGGGGCCTCTTGGGCCGTCTTGGGACAATCTTGGGCGTCTTGGAGCCCTCTTGGGCTGTCGTGGAGGCCCCGTGGGCCCTTTGGGGCGCGTTCGGGGGCCGTCTTGTCCTGTCTTGGGGCGTTCTGGCCTACGGAGCAAGTCGCAGGCCACCTTTCGGGTATATAGAGCATGAGCAGCGAACGCGCGTGCTCTGAGTGAAATTCAAGAAGCTTCGCGTATCCCCACCAGCTGTGTTGTCCCTGGTCGTCGTCTATCTCCCGACTTTTGGCGCCTTCGACGGACTTGCATCTTTGCACGCTGGCAGTTCCACTCAGCTTCAGTTCCTCCCGCCATCCACCTGCCGCGGGCCGCTGCGTGAGGCTGCGTGAGACGCGTAGCTGTTGCCTTGCGTGTCGCCTCTGCCTGATTGGTCTTTGCGTAGCCCGCTTGGACCTGGCTCGCCGCTGGCGCGCTCGCCCGCGGCCGCTGACAAAAAAATATCCCCTACCAGCCTAGCCTGGCGAGTTGAGGTGATCAGGGGCGTGATGGGGCAAAGAGGGGGACGGCCGAACTGTGCGAAGGAGGGAGGAAGAAACGGAGGAAACTGGATGGATGGATGGGGGGGGGAGGGGGGGATTAATCGGATGATGGTGGTGGTGATGATGCTGATCGTCAATATGATGAGAATGATGAGGATGATGATGGCGATGCTGATGATGGTGATGCTGATGATGCTGATGATGGTGATGGTGATGCTGATGATGATGAGGAGGAGGAGGAGGAGGAGGAGGAAGAGGAGGAAGACAATCCATATGCAAAAGGGCCAGAGCTCTCTTGGATGCCACTCGGAACCTCTTGGGATATCTCTTGTGCACTCCTTGGTGGCCCTTTAGGACGTCATGGGGGTCTTGGCGGTCCTGGGGGGTGCGTGGGCGTCTTCGGTGCCTCGGGGGGGCCTTTTTGGGCCGCTCGGGGTCCTTTGGGGGGCCTCCCGGGGGCCTTTTCGGGGCTTCTTGGGGCCATCTTGGGGCCATCTTGGGGCCAGTTGGGGCCTCGTGGGCGCCTCTTTGGGGCCATCATGAAAAACATCGATCCAAAAAGAGGGGTTCCTCAATTACGGTCGCCCCCCGAAAAACGCCAAAATGGTGCCCAAACCGTGGTGAAGCCAATGATGTTGGCCTCGTCGAGGCCGTTTTGGGCGCCCTGACCGCTCGCGACCGGCCCCGTCCAGGTTCATGGGATGGGGTAGGGGGAGGGGTAAGCCCCTCCCCGAAGGGGAAAAAGAGGATTGGAACAGGAAACGCTGTAGACCACCTTACGCCCTGAAGGGCTGGTGGGATTTGCAGCACGGCGCTCTGCTAATGAGAGGAGGAGCAGTGAACGCGCGCATGCTCTGAGGGCAATATGAGCAGAGCGGCGCTTTGCTCATCAGAGCCTGAGCTTTGAGGCTGAGTAGCAGATTGGCGCTCTGCTAATGAGGGGGGGAGCAGCGAGTGCGTATGCTTTGAGGCTATTACTAGAGCGCCGCTGTGCTTACTGGGGCCCAGGAACGCCTTGGAATTTTGAGAATTGTGTGGTCCCAGCTTTTAGAATACTATAATCTCACAGTCCTGAATACAGAGGACAGCGGACACAAGAGAGCCTTGCGAAAACTTCACTTCGCGCCTCGCGGCACGATGGCGGATACATGTTTTCTTATCATCACTAAGAAGAAGAATGCTAATACGATTAATGATTTACACCATTGACACGAATAAGGACACGGCTGATACGAGTACACATTATTACAAGACGAACCAACATCAGTAGCATTAAACATCATAACATTCATGAGCTCTCTAAACCACCGGCGCCCTAAAAGGCTGGTGGGATTCAGTTGACGTGCGTGTCGGGCTGGTGCGTGAAACTCTCTGGGGGCCCAAGAGATGCGTTTGGGGGCCTCCGAAAGTTTACATGTTGGTGCGGTTTTCTGTGGGATGTCCCCCAGAACTCCAGAGTACTGAACAACATCAGCACGGAGGTTTTTTTGAAGTTTTCGACTTCCGGGGGCTCTCGCCGGGTCCCCTGGACTGTCAAACAACGACTCGTGGCGAACGTCGAGTCCTTGGGAAGGGCTCGAGATTTCCGTGGACACCGTATTGAAACATAATGTTTTCGTTTGGTTATCGGCGCGCACAAGGGGTTACCGCGAGGGGGGTTGGCCTTCTAAGAGGGCGTGGGGCTTCTCAGCAGGCAGGGCCCTTCTTAGAAGCCCCCCGGCTTCTAAGACGCCTTCTTTGAAGCTTCACAGGGCCCTTCTCAGAAGCCCCCGCCTCCTCACAAGGCCACCCCCTCGCGCGACCTCCCTGTGCGCGCCGTCCGGCTGCCGCGCCGCTCCGCCCTCCTCGCAGGGTCTGGTGGCTCACGGTGGACCCGCACCACGGGCACCCGAAGCCGTATCCGCTGGAGATTGCCAGGAGACTGGAGAGAGCCTATCTCGGCGGCTCGCCGAGGGGCGATCCTCCTCCTCCTCCTCCTGTTCCTCCTGCTCCTCCTCCTCCTCCTCCTCCTCCTCCTCCTCCTCTTGAAAATATGGGGAAATATGGGAAAATATTGGAAGTGGGGGGGAAGACAGAAACCCAGAACATGTGGGAAAATATGGGGAGTTCTTTGATTTGTGTGTGTTTATTTGTGTGTCCCAGGGCCCCTTAAATGACGTCGGGAGCTTTCCTGGCATCTCCGGCCTCTGGGGGCCGCCCCCGCTTGGCCCGGGGCCGTCAGCAAGGGACTCGGGAGCAGAGCTGGCCCCAGGGATAGGGGGCCGCACGCGAACCCTACCCGATTTCTGAGGGGGAGGGTGGGGTTCACTTCGTCTGGGAGCTCCCGAGCGAAGTGAACCCCACCCTCCCCCTCAGAAATCGTGGGGGGTAGGGGTAGGGGTAGGGGTTCGCATGTGGCCCCCTAAGGGAGTGGATCGATACCTTCTGGGGTCGTCTTTATGAACAACTCATGACGTCGGGGTCTGAGGACGGTGCAGGCCTTCTCAGGAGGAGGTGGGGGGCTTCTCAGAAGCCTTCCGGCCATATGAGAAGCCCTCCCTCTGTCTTCGGGGAAGGCTCAGAAAGCTGCTAAGAAGGCTGGATCCGGCGAAGGCATCTGTACACCACTGCCGTGCCAGGCCAGGGCCGTCCTGTGCCACAGGATGGTGTATAGTATAGACCCTCCTGGCCGAGGCCAGGAGGGCCTCTACACCACGCCAGGGTCAGGATGGCCCTGGCCTGGCACGGTGGTGTGTATACATATATATATATATATATATATATGTCTATATGTACATATATATGTGTGTGTATGTATGTATGTATGTATGTATGTATGTAGGTATGTATGTATGTATGTATGCATGCATGCATGCAGGCATGCATGCATGCATGTATGTGTGTGTATGTATGTATGTATGTATGTATGCATATGTATAGTTATGTATGTATGTATGTATGTATGTATGTATGTATGTATGTATGTATGTATGTATGTGTGTGTATGTATGTATGTATGTATGTATGTGTGTATGTATATATGTATGCATGTGTGTGTATGTATGTATGTATGCATGCATGCATGCATGCATGCATGCATCTATCTATGTATGTGTGTATGTATGTATGCATGTATGTGTGTATGTATGTATGTATGTATGTATGTATGTATGTATGTATGTATGTATGTATGTATGTATGTATGTATGTGTGTATGTTTGCATATATGTATACGTATATGTATATGTATATGTATATGTATATGTATATGTATATGTATATGTATATGTATATGTATATGTATGTATGTATGTATGCATGCATGCATGCATGCATGTATGTATGTATGTATGTATGTATGTATATATGTACATATGTATGTATGTACGTACGTACCTACGTCCGTACGTACGTACGTGCGTGCGTACGTACGTATGTATGCATGCATGTATGCATGTATGTATGTATGTATGTATGTATGTATGTCTGTGTGTATGTATATATATATATATATATATATATATGTGTATATATACATATATATACACACATATATATATATATATATATATATATATATCCCGGGGGAGCAGGCCCGGGGCCCGAAAACAGCTGCCTCGACCCTCCATGGGAGGACTGGGGCTCATTTTCCGTGTGTTTTTGCAGGGTTTCCGCGTCCTGGGCCTCGGAGGCCGCCGCCTCCGACCCCCCATGGGAGGACGGGGCGGCCAGGGAGGTCCAACATAGTCCAGGAGGGCCTCCAGAGCTACCATGACGGCCCAAGCGGGCCCCGAGTCGCGGAAAGACCGCTCCAGGACGCCCAAGATAGGCCCAAGACGGCCCGAGAGGTCCCCCAAGGCACTCCACGACGCTTCAAGACGCCTCTCCAGAGCGTTTCAAGAGGCCGAAATCGTTAATTTTACGAAGGTTTTCGAACGATTTTGGCCTTCAGCCTTTTCGGCTGTCCGACGTTCCAAGGCGGCTCAATAGGCCCCCAAGAGCGCCCCAAGACGGCCCAAGAGGCCCCCAAGACGGCCCCAGAGTCGCCCAAGACAGCCCAACAGAGCCCTAAGACGGCCCCAAGATGCGCCCAAGAGGGGGACCACGACTCCAAAATTCGACCCTCCCGCTTGAAGAGTGCCCCATGAGGCCCCAAGGAGCCCCCAAGAGGCCCCAGGAGGCCTCCAAGAGGCACCCAGGAGGCCCAAACGAGGCCTAAAGAGGCCACAAAACAGCCCCGAGGAGGCCCCACAACGGTCCCAAAACGGCTACCGAGAAGCTGCGAAACTGCCTTCACGACGTCCCCGACAGGCCAACCACGAGATCCAAACCAACACCCATGAGGCCTCTGACCCACCGCCCAGGGCACGGTGGCGGGAGCAGTGACAGCACTTGTGCACAGCATGTTCCGGCGGGAGTCTTCCGTAACACGCTGCAGGAGGAGGAGGAATATCAGGAGCAGAGAGAGAGCTGGAGTGGGAGGAGGAGGAGGAGGAGGGGACGAGGAGGAGGAAGAGGCCTCCAAGACAGCTCCAAGAGGCCCTGGTGGGCCGCCCAGGGCCCTCTTGGAAGCCCTAAGGCGGTGCCTGAGGCGCCCAAGACGGCCCGAGAGGGCCCCAAGACGGCCCCAAGAGAGGCCCAAGAAGGGAAACAGGAACCGAGAATCCGAGCTTTCTACCCCGAGAGGTTCTCGGGAAGTCCCAAGAGGCCCCCGATCGGATCCAAGAGGCCCCCAAGAAGCTCCCAAGAGGGCCGACGAGGTTCCAAGAGATCTCCCAAGGTGGCCCCAAGAGGCACAACTCATTGAATTACGATTGGGTTTTGACGGTTTTTTTTTTCTCTGCCTTTTGGCATCCCGATGCTCCAAGACGTCCCAAGAGGCTTCCAATACCGTTCCTATATAGAGGAAGAGGCCTCCAAGAGGGCCCCAAGACGGCCCGCGAGGGCCTCAGGACGGTGATTGAGGCGCCCAAGACGGCCCGAGAGGGCCCCAAGAGCCCCAAGAGAGGCCCAAGAAGGGGAACGCGACCCAACAGCAGAGCGTTCCCCCAAAAGGCCCACAGGAGGCCGCAAGAGGCCCCCAAGTGGTCCGACGAGGACCCCAAAAGCTTCCCGAGGGCCTAAAGGCCCCTAGGAGACGTCCAAGAGGCTTTCAAATAGCCCAAGAGTGCCCTCGATACGTCAAAACTGCTTCCAGGAGGCCCCCGGGAGGCTTCCGGATTGCCTCAATCTGGCCGCAGGTGGCCTCAAGTCGGGCCTCCACGCAGCCAAGACGGCCAATGACGGCTTCAGATTGCAGAACGGATGCCCCCAGGGACCCTCAGACGCCCCCCCAAGAAGCAGCCAAGAGGTGCCTCCAACAGCCAGTTGACGAAGCATGCAGAACACCCCAGAAGCTCCTCAGATGCCGTCGCGCGCCTGTGCTTGATAGCGTTGTCCAAGATTGTCCAGCGCCCCCCCGGCCTGGGCTAGAACCTGGGCGCGCGCTCAGGGTGGCCTGGACAGTACGCCCGGGCCCGGGCATACTGTCCTGAGTCCTGAATGGATGCTAACCCAAATCAACAATTCCCCGATTCCTTGGAGCCTTCGGAGACTCCGCGAAAACGTTAAGAAGCCGGGAGGCGCGGTACCGGCCAGATGTCAGGGGATATGTAGCACCCCCGAGTAGGAGTTCCACTTTGATGAAAAATAGAATTCTTGGAATTCCCTCTCTTGTTTCCCAAATCCTCGATCTTTGAGGGCTGGAAGCGGGAAAACGTGAAAAGGCGAAAAACATAGGACAAACCGTTGGAAATCAACGATTTTACCCTCTGGGCTCTCTCGGGACGGCTCTCGCAGCTCTCTTGGGCTGTTCTTGGAGCCTCGTCGGGGTCTCTTTGGGGCCTCTCAAGGATGGGGGGCGTGTTGGGGGCCTCTTGGGGGTCTCCGAGGCCTCCCGGAGGCCTCTGGAAGCCTCCTGCTCCCGCTCTTGGGCCCATCTTGGGCCTGTTCTGGTATGGTCTGGGGCTGTGCTGGGCGCCTCTTCGGCAGTCTTGGAGCCTTCTTGACCCGTCTTGGGGCCGTCCTGGGGGTCTCTTGAGTGGTCTTGGGGCGGTCTTGGGAGGCTCTTCGGCGCTCTTGGACCGTTGGAAGCTCGAAAACGCGAGAAGCCAAAAACATTGAAATTACCATTGAACATATACGACTTTGGCCTCTTCGGGCCGCACCGTGATACCTATCAGACTTCTTGGGGTCTCTTGGAGGCCACCTGGGAGCCTCGACTTCCCCACTCGCCTTCCCCAAACCCAGCGCTTGCCCAATCACGTTCTGGACGGTCTTCGCCGGAACGCGCTGGAATGATCACGCGCTGCGGTTTCCCATGCCAACGTCTTCGGACGTGGGCGCCCTGCCACGAGCGCGTTCCGGGAAGATGCTCCCGGAACGCGCTGAAAAGATATGGCCACATCTCGGGGACGCTCCCGGCACCGCTCCCCCAGCCTTTCTGGGCAGCCTCCACAGCGCTCCAGGAGGGCCCAAGACGCCCCCCAGGAGCCCCCAGAATGCGAAAGGATGGCCCAAGACGCTCCCGAGCAGCCCAAGTCAGCCTTCCGACGGCTCTCGAGGCTCCCAGGTGGCCTCCAAGAGACCCCAAGAAGTCTGATAGGTATCACGGTGCGGCCCGAAGAGGCCAAAGTCGTATATGTTCAATGGTAATTTCAATGTTTTTGGCTTCTCGCGTTTTCGAGCTTCCAACGGTCCAAGAGCGCCGAAGAGCCTCCCAAGACCGCCCCAAGACCACCCAAGAGACCCTCAGGACGGCCCCAAGACGGCCAAGAAGGCTCAGACCATTCGACATTGCAGTCGCCAGCGTCTGCGCTAGAACCTAAGCGCGCGCGAAGCGCGCGCGTGGTTCTAGTGTATATATAGATATATGTGTATATATCTATATATATTTATACATAGATGCTTTCTGCGTGCTGGAGGCCCTCCGAGCCCTCTGAGGAGGCGCCTGCCCCCCCTCTGCCTTCCCCTCTCTGGCGCGCCGCCGACGGTCAGCAGAGGGAGGACTCGCTGGACCTCGGGGCGGACTTCTGGGGGGCGGAGGTCCACTTCCGGCCGCGGCTCGTGCAGAAGACCACGAAGGTTAAGTCGGGCCTGTCCCCCTACAGGAGGACTCTCGACGAAAAATAGAAAATACCATGGAAACATTCCAAACATAGTATGGGGATTTTTCTTATATATATATATATGTATAGATATATATATGTATGTATATCCATACACACCTTTTTGGTGTAATTTTAGGGTATTTGTTATTTTTCGTCGAAGCTCCCCCTGTAGGGGGACACGCCCGACGTAACACGAAGGGCACCCGGGACGTGGGTCGGGTCGAGCTCGGCAGCGCGGACGCGACGGTCGCCGTCTTCGTGGTGAAGCACGCGGACCCGAAGGCGGGGCCCATCTCGACGCGATGGATCCGATCCGACATCGATTTCGGCCAGCCCGACCCGACTCGATTCCGATGTTCGATAGAGCGTCTTCTGACGCAGCTGGGAGAAAGTGAAGGGGGTGGGTGTGTTTCACCTCCCCCTTCGGAAAGTCGAGGGGCGGGGGTGGGGTTCGACCCCCCCCCCTCCCTGGGGATTCCAGGAAGTAGGGCGGGGAAACCTAGACCCCCTTACCCCTCCAACCGACGGGACAGCAATCGGGGTAAGCATCGGGAGAACCGTGGGGACCATCGGCGGGACAACCATCGGACAAGTACCTATCACTTTCAGGAGAGGAAAAAACACACAGACACAATTAATCGTCGACTCTCCCGAAAATATGGGAAAATATGGGAGGAACCCAGAAAATATTGGGAAATTGAGAGAATCCTATTATTTGTGTGTATTTGTGTGTGTGTGTGTGTGTCCCAGGGCCCCTTCATACTGGTCTCACTCTCCGTCTATCTACCCGTCTTTCTAAATCGATCGGCACCGACGTCGCCAAGCGCATTCATGAAGTCGTTAGAGAGGGGGAGGAAGGAGGAGTGAGGAGGAGGAGGTCAGGAGGGGGGAGGAGGGGAGGGGGAGGAGGGAGGAAGCAGGAGGAAGGAGGGAAGAGGGAGGATGGAGGAGGAAGGGAGGGGGGGAGGAAGAAGGACGAGGAGAATAGGATAGAGTTGTTGTTCGCCTCCCTGGCCCTGGTCATCGTGTCGTCGTCCTCGTCGCCGTCGTCGTGGCACACTCGTTTTTTCGGTCCACGCGGCGCTGCCACGTGACGGCTACAACCGAATATGTTTTTGCTGCGCGCCTGCAGGCGTTGCCGCGTGGCGAGTGGAGTGGCCTAGCATTTTTGGTCGGCCCCCGCAGCGTTGCCACGTGACCGATGGAGTGGCATCGCTGTTTTTTCTTCCCGGCCCCGGTGGCGCTGCCACGTGACGAGTCGAGTGGACGGAATGCTGCTTCCTCGCGCCCCCACGCGTGGGCAGGTGGCGCGTGGAGTGGCTCAGTGTTTGCTGTTGGGCCCCGCGGCGTTCTCACGAGACGCGTCGTGGAGTAGTATTGTGTCGGCCCCCGCCAGGCGGTGCCACGTGGCGAATGGAGTGGAATAGTACTTGTTCCGACCCCCGCGGCGTTGCCACGTAACGAGTAGAGTGGCGTTGCCACGTGGCAGCCGCCCAGGCAACCAGCCAACCAACCAACCTACCTACCGACCGACCAGTCACCAGCCAACCAACGGGTCAACCAACGATCCTGTTGCGTTGCATGCGTTGCACTGCGTTGCATTTGCATTGCATTGTAGTAAATTGCGGTCGAGGGGGAGGGCAGAAGGGAGGAGAAGGGAGGAGGGTAGAGAGGAGGGAAGGAAGAAGGAGGAGTGTTGATGGAGGAGGGGGGGAGGAGGGGATGGGGAGGAGGGAGGAAGGGGGAGGAAGGAAGGATGAGGGAGGATGCAGAAGGGAGGAAAGGGGGAGGGAGAAGGACGAGGAGGAGGATATATGATAGAACTGTTGTTCGCTGCCTTTGCCCTCGTCATCGCCGTCGTCATCATCATCGTCGTCGTTCTCGTCGTCGTCCTCGTCGCCGTCCTCGTGGCATAATGTTTGCTCCCGCGGAGCTGCCACGTGACGACTATAATGGAATACGATTTTTTCGTGCCTACAGGCGTTGCCACGTGGCGAGTGAAATGGCATATCATTTTTTTCGGCCCCCGCGGCGTTGCCATGTGACGAATGGAGTGTAATAGTTTGTTGTTTCGACCCCCGCGGCGCTGCCACGTGACAAGTAGAGTGGATTGAATGCTGTTTCTTCGCGCCTCCAGGTTGCCACGTGGCAAGTGGAGTGGGTATCTTTTCGGCCCCAAGCGGCATTGCCTCGTGACGAATATTGTGGAATAGTACGTTTTTTCGCCCCCCCAGGCGGTACCGCGTGGCGAACTGAGTGGAATCAATTTTTCTCAGCCCCCGCGGCGCTGCGACGTTCCGAGTAGAAACAGTACTTTATCGCTCGCCAAGGCGTTGCCACGTGGCGAGTGGAGCGGAAAGTACGCTTTTCGGTCCCGCGGCGTTGCCACGTGACGAGGCACACATTGCATTGCAGCGCATTGCATTGCAGGCATAGCGTTGCATTGCATTGCATTGCGTTGCGTTGCGTTGCGTTGCGTTGCATCCTGTTGCGTTGCGTTGCATCCTGTTGCGTTGCATTGCTTTGCACTGCGTTGCATTTGCATTGCAGTTGCAGTACACTTGCATTTCGCGGAGGGGGTGGGTGGGCTGGTTCGAACCTGTCGTTCGGCGCTGGCGCTCGTCGTTGTCGCCGTCGTTTGGCTTCGACGCTCGTCGTTGTCATTTGCCGGCGGCTTGTGGGTGGGTGGGGGGGAAGGGGTTTTGAAACTCTCCCCTCCCGCCCCTCCCCTACTTTGTGGAATCCGAAGAGGGGAGTGGGGGGGAGGGGCGGGGGTTCCCCTGCGAGGGGAGGGGGGGAGGGGGTTGTAGGAAAGGGGGAAGGGGGATTTTGAGGGGGGAGGGTCCCCCTGGCTTCGTTGAACGAAGATTTTGACAGTTTCTGCCAGTCAAGGTGCGCAATAACGCATTCTCTCTCTGATGTTTGACCGCCCGATGCGGCCCGATGCTTACGCGGCGTTGTCGTGCATCTTGGCGAGGCGATCCGATTCGGTTTCGACTCCGTGCCGATGCGGCCCGATCCCACGCACAACTCGATTCGATCCGATCTCCTGGTTCGATGCTGGATGATCCTGCCCAGATCGGGGGTCCCGGTGGTGACCACACCGTGCTGTGAGTCGGTGGGGATTCGGGGTCACCGCACGGTTTTGGGACTCGAGGCCCTCTCCGAGGATGTCTCGGGCGACAGGGGCCTCCGGGGTCCCAAGGCCGTGCGGTGACGGACCGCGCGGTGAGGTCCTGGGGGAGTTCGAGGTCACCGCACGGTCCGTCACCGCACCGCTTCGGGGCTCCAAGCCAGAGGTCGGGTGGCGCAGCGCGGAGGAGGGGGCCGAGGGCGCGGAGAGGCGGACGCTGAGGGAGGCGGACGTGATGCCCAACGCGCTGAGCCTGTCTTCCGTGCCCCTGTGACCGCCGGCGGCCTCCCCCAGAGGAGTCACCAGCCTCGAACGCATCCCCATCCCCAAGATTGACACGCCAAAGGGCGGTGCCAGTCTTAGGGATGCGCCCTGAAAAACTAAGGGACGCCCTAAGATTGGCATTGTGACGAGGCGATGCCCAGCTTAGGGATAGGGATAGATTCCAGGCTGGTAGAGGAGGCTGGCGCGGCGCCTGAGGTGCGAATCGAAGAAGACACGACGGCATGAACAGATGCACTTTCGAAGCCCCTTGCGGATTTCGTGGATCTGCGCTGGCCCTCCCCGCGCGCCAGGGAGGGGGGGCCGTCGCCGATCCAAGAAATCCGTCCGAGCCTCTGACAGTTTACGCTCATGCCTTTCTCTGTGCCTCTAGCACTGACGTCTCCAGTACAGTTGATCAGACGGCGGCGGCCCTGTCTTGAGAGGAGGCGCGTGGCACTGGTAATTCCACGTCCGTCACAGGTTGGGATTCGCCGTCGGCCAGGTCCAATAAAAGTGCATCGCTCCTTTCTCAGAGAGACTCGATCCCTGTCGTCGGGTTTGGCTTACGCCCAGCGTGAGCGGTATGTGGCAGGTCCCACACCGACGCAGCAGCAAAGAAGCTGCCCCCTGAGAACTTGCCCTCGCCGCCGCCACCAGCAGCCCTTTTCTCTCGAAGCGTCGTGGCTGTGCGCAGAGCATCGGGCAGCGCGACAGGGCAAAGTGGAGCCTCGGGGGATGCCGGCTATGCCCACCCACGACGGTCCGGGCCAAGGTCCACCGTGGGACCATGATCGGCGCATGGCCAAGAGAGTGCATGCTCAGGGGGGAGCAGACACGGTGAGTAATCGATTCCCGTGAAACTGGGAACACATGGCAAGGGGGGGGGAAGGCGAAGATCCAGAAGATGCGGAACCAATGAAATGAGGAATCCGGAGATTGGTGTGTACAGTGGAGGCCCATGCCAAGAAACACCCTGCGTGCCCCCGGGGTGCACTGGATTTCTTGTGTTTCGATGGTTTTGCTGTGGGAAGCGTGACGTTCTCACGCAAAAAAACCCTGGGCCTCCTGGGGTCTCAGGGCTGGGTTTCTTGGGTTTCGATGGTTTTGCTATGGGAAGCGCGACGCTCTCACGCCCAAAACCCCTGGGCGTCCTGGGGTCTCAGGGCCGGGTCTCTCGTGGAAGGTCTCCTGCGGGCTGGCCTCCACTGCATCTCCTGGGTGCCCCTGGGCACCTTGGCACGCACCGACGTCTTGTGCGGTGGCTCGACCTGCCCGGGATTGTCGCTGCCGGCCCCACGCCGCCGGCGCGTGCTGACGGCCAGGGCTTGCCCGACGCCCCAGCCCGCCCTCATCAAGCAGGGGCGAAGCGTCCTGGCTTCCCTACAGGCCCACCGAACAGTGTTCTAGGAACCCTTGTGTCGTGTGCGCGAAGTGTTATTATCTGCACGAACGAGGTGGGCACGGAACGAATGGGTACGGTCCCCAACCGCAGTTCTTGTTCATTTTGAACAGGGCTCGCTGTCCGCGCCGCCGCGGCCCGTGTCCACTTGAGACAGGAGGCCGCCTGCCCAGCAGCGGCCGCTGTTTGTTCGGGTCAACATTTGCTGTTGGGCATTGTACCCATTCTTTCCGTGCCCACTTCGGACGTCCAAACACGCTGCCGGCGCGTGCTGACGGCCAGGGCTTGCTCGACGCCCCAGCCCCACTCATCATGCAGTGGCGAAGCGTCCTGGCTTCCCTATAAGCCCAACGAATAATATTCTAGGAACCTTGTGTCGTGCGCGCGAGATGTTATCATAACGTTTCTGGCTGGGACTGGTTTCTTATCACACATCGGGAATATGTTATGATAACATGGTTTTTGTTCTAAGTTTTTTTGGGGGTTCTAAGAACATGTGTCGGTAGGCCTATAGGAATGCTGGGACGGTCGGTCCATGCTCAACCCTCACCAGGAGGGGAAAAGCACACAGACCCAATTATTCGTGGATCCAAAGGAAATGCGGGAAAATACGGGAAGTGGGGGGAAGACGGAAATCTTCAAGATGCGTGAACATATGGGGACATCCTGGGATTTGTGTGTATTTGTTTGTGTGGCCCAGGGCCCCTTCACCTAGGGGCTCCTTTCGCCTCCTCCGATGCGATTCGCTTCGATTTCGGTGGCTTCCGATTTCGATTCGATTCGATTTCGATTCCGAGTTCGATTTCGGTTTCGTTCCGAGGTCGACCTGGGATTCCGAGCTGGGATCCGATTCCTCCCTGGGGGCCCAACAGCCTGCCGATGTCCCCGCGACCCCACCTCTCTCCCGATCCTGCCGCCGATTCCTCCGCCGATGCGCTTCGCGTCGATTGCCGGTCTCACCACCCACCAAAGCACCCCAACCCAACCCGAAGGCTGAGATTTACCCTCGATTTCCAGTGGGGGTGGTGTCGGGAAACAGCGAAACAACACATGTGGAACCCTTACCCCCCCCAACCCGAAATTCGGGTCTTCGGGTTGGGTTGGGGTGGTCTGGTAGGTAGTCACGGTCCGACTCGTCGATTCCATCCTGGGCTCTCTTGCCCCCTGCCTGTGCCCGACGCGAGGTTCCCCGGGCAGGCCCGCGGCCCGCCGGCCGCTCTCCGCGGCGCCGCGGCCTCTCGCCTTCGCCGCGCGGCCCAGCACCGCGAGAGCGGCCTTTTGGGCGCCCGAGTTATCCGGGGTAACTCGGGCCTGGGGTAACTCGGGTTTGGATTCCCGAAAAAGGAACCCGAGTTAGCCCTGACCCGAATTATCCCTGATGATCCGGTGCTCTGGACGCCCGAGTTATCCGGGGTAACTCGGGCCCGGGGTAACTCGGGTTCGGATTCCCGAAAAACTAACCCGAGTTAGCCCTGACCCAAGTTACCCCTGATGATTCGGGTCTCTGAGCCTAGTTCGCTGGAGGGATCTCTAGGGGGGCGAGCAATGACACAAGCATAAACACCCGGAGGTCCGCGCGGATTCGTCGGACCGGTGCTGGAGCCCTGGCGGCGCTTCCGGCGCCGATCCGAGAGATCCGCGCGGACCTCTGAATTTTTGTGTTTGTGGCATTGTTCGCCCCCCTAATACTGGGGTCCGCAGGTTGCTGAGTGCGACGTGATTTCTTGGAGGGCCAAGCCTAGACCTGCTGCTAGAAGACCAACATCTGGGGCCGATGCCAAATACCGTTCTCACGTCCCAGCCAAGAGCGGCTACGGACACAGTGGGTGCCGTGACGTCCATAGAGACATTTTCGGGGTGGATGCGTCTATGACAACGTGGCCGTTGCGTTCGGCGCGGTGCAAGGTCGGAGAAGGGGTACGCTCCTGTTCTAGAGCAGGTCCCACATGGTAGAGGAGGAGGACGAGGAGGAGTAGGAGGAGGAGGCGGAGGAGGAGGAGGCGGAGGAGGAGGAGGAGGAGGGGGCGGAGGCGGAGGAGGAAGTGGAGGCGGAGGCGGAGCAGGAGAGGAGGAGGAGGAGGAGGAGGAGGAGGAAGAGGAGGAAGAGGCGGAGAGGAGGAGGAAGAGGCGGAGGAGGAGGGAGGAGGAGGAGGAGGAGGAGGAGGAGGAGGAAAGGAGGAGGAGGAGGAGGGAGGGAGGGACGGAGCGGAGCGCGAGCGCCTAAGGGGGGGGTCTGGTGGCTCACACCTCCCCGCCGCGCGTCCGTCTCCTCCGCCTTCCGGTTCCCTCCTGCCCCCTCCTCCCTCCTCCCTCCCCCGGGCCGTTTTTGTTCCGGGGTGTGTCCTGTCGCCGGCGTCCAGGCGGGCTGTCGCCCCCCGCCCGGGCGCCGAAAAAAAAACCTGATGGACACACACCCGTGGAGTGAGGGTTTTGGAGAGCACTGTGGTTAATTTGCTCGGCCTGGCGCGCATGGACTGTCCTCACACGCCTGACGCCAGTGGACACCCGTCCTAAAGGTGGACGGGTGCTGGGGTCGCGGCAGCAGCAGGAGGAAGAGGCGGAGGAGGAGGAGGAGTAGGAAGAGGCGGAGGAAGAGGAGGAGGAGGAGGAGGAGGAGGAGGAGGAGGATGAGGAGGAGGAGTGATGGCAGCGGCTCGCGCGCTCGGGTGCGGCCCCGAAGGTGACGCACCACAGGTCACTCTCGTCTGGGTCCCGGGGGTCGCTCCTGCGCGTGGCCGATCCGACCCCCTCGATGGCCCTCGCGGGGCCGCCGCTTCGGCCCGGTGCAGGGCGATCTGGCTCGCCGGCTGAGGTACCCAGGTTTGAGTACGTTTAAATCGGGCGTGTTGGATATCCCAAAGTATTTTACACAACTAGTTTTGGAACGTTTTTTCGAGTATGTTTGATGCTTGCTTCGAATTGTGTTTTCGAGTATTTACATAATCCGCCTGTAGGAGGACACGCCCGACCTACGAGTACGTCGATAAAATCGTCGAAGTTCCCAAGGTTGTCCTTGTGGAAAAGGTCGTGGCACAGTTAGGACGCATGCCGAACGCTCGTGACAACGTCAGCCGTGACGCGCTGAGCCGAGATGACACCCGTTGGGAGGCTAGTCGCGTTTCTAGCAAAGATGCAACGATCAAGGAAGCAGAGGCCACAATCGACGGTCTTATAGCTTCTAGCGAGTGTTCAGTCACATCGGTTTGTTCATCGATGGTAATGACGAAACAAGTTACATAGATCTGGTGTTGGAAACATTTGGCAACCACATTGTGGATAACATATTGACACTTCCAAACCGAAGCCGCACGACATTATCCAGGGATGAATTGGAGCAGCGCTATGACTTTATGCATCGCTACTGTCTTTGGTGGAGAGTATGCAGCACGTTTCGCAGTGAGATCGCATACCCGTCGAGCAAGACCGACGATTTTGTTGAATGTGAGAAGCTGTGGCCGAGGTGACGGGTAGTATCGTACAATCGCATGTGAGGCAAATGTCCCCTTCTTTGCGCAAAGTCCCGTTATCGAACTGATCTGGATGATGAATTCCATCATGGGGCCAATGATGCGAATTCCGGATTCTAAAGCAGTTGTGTTCTACGACATCTG